ACATCTCCATGAGGATAATCTGGACTTAACGTCTAAACTAGAGGACCTGGAAAACCAGTCACACAGATCCTACCTCTGTATCCAAGGGATACCCGAGACCTTCCTTGATCTCCAGGCCACAGTTACAGCCCTTCTGCAAGAGCTGACCCCGGCCATACCTGTAGATCGCCTGGAATTTCAGAGGATCCACAGAGCACTGACGAGAAGGCAGAAAGATGGCCCCCCTCGGGACATTGTGGTGACATTTCTATACTTCTGCACCAGGGAGGCAATTTTGCAAGCGGCCCGCAAAGCCCCTAACCTTGCCTTCCAGGGCAATGACTACCAAGTCTTCGCTGACCTAGCCCCGACTACCATCATGAAGCGGCAGGCGATGAAACCGGCCCTGTCCATACTTCAAAGCCAGGGAGTGCTATACCGCTGGGGATTTCCTTTCCGATGTCCCTGATGGATGACCTTGGACTGTCTGACACCCTCGCCACCGGTTCCAAGTCTTCCCCGGGTCAACGTGGGATGTCGAACCACCTCTCGCCTACTTCTACTCCAGCCCCCCAGAACACTTCCACCACACCTGGCTGTTGGTCCTTCTGGATGATCCACTTTGAACACCATCTCTTACTTGAGCCCTACTGCCTTGAAACTCATGGAACCCTATCAGTGGTTCTGGTCCGTGACGGCTGGTCCCTATGTCCACCTTTCACCAGGAAACTCAATATTCACTATGTTACCCTGCCTATACTTAATGTTACTGTTTTCGGTTCCATGTTTTTCTTATGCAATGTTTGAGCGCTAGTACAGTACAGGAAGGAGACTCAGCTCTGTTGCTGTGTTCTAGGAAATTGCCCCGGGTGGCCCACGGCCCCTAGGCTCCTCTAGCTGCGTCCTGATGTCTTCCGACGATGTTTGAGCTCTCCTCTCCTGTACTGTGTGCGCCATGTTTGTAGTGCCTTACGATGATTGTTGGCTATCCTGGTCCCCTGCTCACCCCCTTCGTCACCCTTATTGTGTCCGGTGCGGCACAACAATCATTTACACCTTAGTCCCGGCGGTCACTGCCCCCCTTGCCACCCAGATATCTGGCTCCCGCCGTCCTAGTGGTTACGGTTCTGCCTGGGTATCCTGGGTGCCGGCTTTTCCATGGCTCCCCCTACCCAGTCAGAGTATTGTTTTGTTTCTGTTCTACCCTTTTCTCCTCTCTTTGTCTTCCTCTTTCTGCTTCTCTCCTACGGCTCTCTCTCCACTGGACTCAGTTCTGCTCCTGTATCCCCAATGGTACACTAAATTTAAAAAAGCAGCTATCCCACTATAGCAATGGCCCCACTACATTTTTTGTCCCTTAATGTTAAGGGATTCAATTCGCCGAAAAAGAGAATTATGGCATTTCGTCAGTTTTGCTCACAAAAATATTATGTTCTTTGTTTACAGGAAACCCACTTCTCCCAATCTTCGGAACCAAGCTTCTTCCACAGACAATTCCAGATGGTCTACACGGCAAGCGTGATTAGGAAACATCGGGGCGTTCTTATTGTTTTCCACGGCAGAGCCTGCTTTGACAGTCGGAAGGTGATCCGTGATCCCTCAGGCAGATACCTGTTAGTTCAGGGACTGCTCCATGACCAGGAGGTAACAATAGTCACGTACTATGCACGACAGGTACGCTTTCTGACCCATCTGTTGCGGGTGGAGGAGTCGCACGCCATGGCTACAGTGATCTTCTGTGGTGACTCGAATCTGCGATTGGGTTTACATTTAACGGCAGCTTTGATATGTGTCATACTACACAGAGGCTGCTTGGCAACTTATATATCAGTGAGCCATCTACCAATTCCTTGCATTACTATAATAACTAGACATGTACATTTCGCTTTGTTCCAAATAGATATTTGGACGAATTTCTTTAATTTGAACATCCGAGTGCATCCGAATTTCCGAATTCTAATGGGTCCCAATGCAAATTAATCCGAATGCTCATTAAAACAGAAATTTGGATCTGTCCGAATTTTGTTCAAAACAAAAATAAATTGGACACATGACTGTGTTCTCTGGCCAATCAGAAGGGTTTTTTTGGCTTTTGGGGGTTGTATTATAGGCACGGTCATGTGACTTTATTCCGAATGAAAATTCAGACAGATCTAAAATCCAAATACCGAACCGAATCAAATTCCAAGTATGAAATCCGAAAAACAAAAGAAATAAACATCCGAATGGATATGAAACAAAACAAATTTGTTTGCATGTCTAATTATAATGGTGTCTTCCCCATTACATATGGTTATTTCTGGTTTATCCACATGAAATTTCTGATGCATGTGTGAAGAGTGGAATTCCAATGTGGAAATCTTTAGCTAGGGATACTTATTAATAAGGAACTTGTAATCTGATACAGATTAAACTGGGGAATATATATCTAATATGTATATACATATAGAGTGGAGTCACCCTAAGACAGGGAGTGTGTTACTGGCTGGATCGCCAGGTGAAAATAAAGAAAAAACAGCCTATGAAAAGAAAACGAACGCAGCCACTGGTAAGGAGTGATAAACTACTATATATTAAATTTTTGTTTTGGGGGTCAGATATGTTTTAAATACTTAAACAAATCTGTACTATATAAATTAAGAGTACAGTGTTCCAGTGCAGATGGACGCAATAAAGAAATCACCTTTATGCATTACATTTATGCTGCCATTGCAGACTAATTGACAGTTGAAAATCAGAATCTTTGCCTCCATCTGCTGCTATAGTAGGAAGTAACATAGATCTGGAACTCTCTACATTGCACTGCTCTTGGACTGTAGAAATAACTATTTAGAATAGCTGCTTACACTTTTTTGTATAACACTGAATGAAGATTGATAGAGCCAGTGAAACTGTTCATTATCTAATTAGTGTGTCTGAACACTTTAATCTTAACAGTCATTCATGCCATCATTTCTTTCTTTAGAAATGATTTGCTGGTACCAGCTACTTGCTGCAGCTGCTGTAATGTACTTAAATGGAGAAGGCTGTGTGTTTTCCTGAGTGTTCTGTATACAGTAGCCAAGTACTGTACACTTTCATAGGACGCATCATTTATAAACTGGCACACCACCATCTCAGCACACATACAAACTAACTCCACACTGGTGGCCCTTTACTTGTAGGACACGTAGTGCTTGTTTGTTCTACACAAGACTTAAAATGTACACTGCCCTTAACATGGACACTGCCATTGCTGAAAAAGTCAGTTGCCTGGCTGCTGTGCTGATCATCTTGCTTTAATAAATTGAGTCACTATTCTGGAACAAGAAAGCAGATAAGGACATCTAGCTTTTCTCTGACTTATGGTCAATGTATTGAATGCACTAGATTACCAAACCTCCCAAACACTAATATATTTAGATGGAGGTCAGCAACGGAAGCTCCAATATATCTGACAGGTTGGCTTTAAGGAAAACTGTCATTAAAGGGAAAACATAGGCCACTATTGCTCACCTCAACTTCAAATAATGCTTGTTGCCTGGCTGTCATGTTGATGCTTTGATAATTGCCCCCAATAGTTGCCTAGTTGCCATGCTGATGTTTTGGCTTCAGTTCTGCATAATAACTGGACTAGAAGAAGTATAGCGATAACGACTTATGACTTAGTGGTCCAGACACAGACAGGAAACATATTTCTCTCGTAGTTAAAGCAAGAAGATGCAAAAGCATATAGTAAAAAGTTATAGCCTCCAGTGTGGCAAGGACAGATTATGAGGATTTATTATAACTAGAGAAAACAGAACCAGTGAAGGGGGAATTATTAAAATGAAACGTTAAAATCTTATTGGTCGCTATGGGCAACAACTCCATTGTGTCTTCATTTCTTTTCTCCAGTTTTTTTGAGATAGCCCCCTATGTACGATCTTGTAAGATGGTAGTTAACACAATTACTGGTTACCATGGCACCCCCCTGAAAAACATTTTATTAGGTTATTATTTATCTGCACATTACTTCTTTAGCCCCATCACATTCTAATGCAAGCTGATTAGTAGACAGGCACAGTATATGCTTAAGTTGTCATCTCTTACCATCCGATTTTACATATGTGAACATGGAAGGGCAGGTATTGCCATCTGTAGAATTTGAAAAACATATAATA